TTTTTTGGAAAAAATGCGGTTTTCCCCGGGGGGGGGGCAAAGGGGGAGAAAACAGGCCCCCTTTTTTTAGGGTGCGGTTGAAAAACCCCTTTTAAGGGGGGGGTTTTTTTTTTTTTTCCCATTTTTGGGGGGGAAATCCCCCCCCCCCCGGGCGTTAAGGGGGCCCAAAAAAAATGGGTTTGGGGAGGGGGTTTTCCCCGCGGTTTTGGGGGTAAAAATCCAAGCCCCCCCCCCCCCCCCCCCCCCCCTCCCAACAGGATGTGAGCGACCCATCCGCGGTGCTCCCCCGCTACGGCAACGTCATCTGCGCGAAGGCCCTCCGGTTAGATCGCCTCCCAAAGCCGCGATCATCACGCCTCAGGAGAAAGATGCCGTATGCGGCGGGGGCGGCGACGACTTCGGGCGGCGATCACTTGAGGGCGAGCGGTGGCGCGAACTCCCGGTTCACGGAAGAGGCACATCGGCGGCGCTCGGCGCAGGTGCGGGCGGGCTTCTATACGCCGCCGGTGGTAGTTTCGGGAGTTTTAACTGCACGTTCGACGAGAGCTCGCACGGGGGTTACACTGACGACGCAAGTAGAGAGAGCGCATGAAGGAAACGGTCAGATTGAGATTGAGCACACGCAAGCATGCCGCTTAGGGCTGCGCAAGAAGTCGAAGAAAAATTGGGAGAATTTGGTGTGTGGAGGATCACACCCTCGCAACCCATGCTCTTTCTGCATGAATGTCTTTGGTAACACCCATGTAGTGCATATGCAACACATGGGCTTGTTGTCGAAGTCTTTAGCCCCCCCCCCGCAGCTGTCATGCGTACGCAAGGAAGAAGTAGGCACAAGATACCGGCAGAATGCATGGAACCCTCCATGCGACTCACCGAATACCTCACGGCGCTTCCCGCTTGGTGACGCGCTTGGTGATGTGCTAGCTTGGTCCGGTGAAAACCCGGCGTGCTCTGTCCCGGCTTTATAGGGATGCGAGGTCAATGCCCTAACGACCGCGGCATGCACGGCCATGAGTACCCACCACCCCCCCTTCGTTTCATTGACCAACTATTCTACTGCTGTCTTGTCTTCGCTCGGTGACACGCACGACGACGCCCTCCCTCAGGACTACCCTGGCAACGCCCGACATCACGGCGGGCAGCCTCAGCAGCCTCAGCAGCCTCGGCAGCAGCAGCAGTGGTCCAACCAAGGGAGACCCCGTAGCGTCTCCCCCGCCCACGGTCACCAGATCCACCACGATGACGTCAACAAGGTATGCATCCGTCCATCGGCCGAGCTCTCGATGCCATGTAGCAGTGTTGTCTAACACTCGTTTGTGTACATGAGGTCCATTTCTATGACACCAGCAAAGTTTGGGTCCATCGGCATGTTTAGCTCTCCTTTGTAGTGTTGTCGATTACGCTTGTGCATCCATAGAAGGTGGTTCTTGTGCGTCCAAAGAAGGTGGTTCTTGTGCGTGGGGGGTCTCGCTTGTGGTCGGGCTACTCGGGTACGTTCGGATGGCTGCTTGCTCGCCGCTTGGTTCCGTTTATATATTTTGTTTCTTGTCCTTCACAGCAGTCAGTCGTGGGCCCTCTATTGGGGTACGTACCAGGCCGATTCTCCCGCTCTACAGCGCCCCGCCCCCCCTCTGCCCTACGCAAAGGACCGGAATGTAGGGCAACAGCATGTAGTCTGTTCCTGAGGTCACGACCATGTATCCTCGTCGTTTCGACCCTGCTATCTCGACCCCCCCACACACACACCCAACCTGTTTTCACACGACGACTGGATTCCACCGATCGGCGTGCGCCTCCGGCAGGGAAAGAGCGTGACTCCGCCCCCAAGCCACGGTGGCGGGGGCAGCAAGGGGGCCCCAATGAGCAGAGGCCCTCCCCCGCAATCCCCACCGCCTCCACCGCCGGAAAACCTGGAAGAGTTTTTGTTTTCGGACTCGCCCACGGGGTCCCCGCGAGCGAGCCCGCGCGCCCAGGGGGGGGGTATCGCGCATTCTTCTACCCCTCGAGGCGGGGGTAGCAATAGCGGCAGCAACAACAGCAAGGACAGGGAGGCAGGGGGCGAGGGAAGGTCCGGGGAGGATCTCCTTAACTTTGGCAACGACTCCGGGGGTGGTCGCCCGAAGCAGGCGCCGGAGCCCTCCCCCCGGCCAACCACTAACGGCGGCCGTAGCCCGGTGCCGGCCGGGTGGGGCAACCGTCCCGCGGCGGCGCGCGGCAGCCCCGTTGCTGGCGGCGCAGGGAGCAGCAACGGCGGTGCTTCTCCGCAGGGTCGTAAATCGACCGCGGGGCGCATGCAGGGGGCGGCGGCGGGGCGGACGAACGGCGGCGGGTCGCGGGGGCCGACCGGTGCACCCGTTAACAACGGGCGGAGCAACAGCGGGGGCAAGAGCGTGAGCGGGGCGGGCGGCGGCGCAGGGGCGACGGGCCCCCCTGGTTTTGTAAGTTGC